TTTAAATCTTGTGTTATAAAAGCTCTATTCAATATGAGCTGGGAAGGGTTTTTCTCCTCTATGCTCTGAAACTTTCTCAACAGGTCCTGAACATGTATGCTGATGTGAAGACTAGTCTGAGTTGATCACTGAGTGTGAAAGCTCCTCTTTGAGAAATAGCTACCTCAATGAGCTGGTGAGATGAGCACTTTCTAAAAGCTTCTGCTTGCTATTATGACTTCAATCTGTGATGTCACATACCCTCTAGGACATGTTCAAGGGTTGGTGTCTCTATTCTGTATATATGTGTATATATTTTTGGTTGAAGTAACTTCACATCTTATCTCAGGAAATCAGTGTGTTTCGCACACTAAATGTTGTCTTTAGTGTCTCTTGAAACTCAATGGTTGCATACATGATTGCACCTTGTAACTGTCCTTTGAGTCAACAGCCTTTGAATCTGTTTGTCCTAATTCCTAAGGATTTGTGTTGCATCTATCTAGCTTCTAGATTAGCATTATCTGAAGTTATTTTGGTTAAGTCACATGAGTTGTGCATTGATAAACTAAGGCTGTTCAAACTAGTATTGCCTGAGTCTAGTCTGTGTTTTCACAAATGCTGCATATCTTGTTGTGCTTGTAGTCTTCTTAATCATGTGTCATATATTGCTCACTCTGATAAGTCTTGCTTAAAGAAAGTTGAGATGCATATCCTAAGATAGATTGATCAGTTTTAAAGGTGACACGGATGGACTATGTTGCATTCATAATGGTCTAATTTGAGCGTTTTGGTGTCATTGATATTATTGCATTATTAGTGTCTAAAAGTCAAGTGTTTTCTTGTGCATCTAATTCTGAGTCATTGGTTGTGAGATTATATGGTAAATGTACTATATTGAGTCTTGTATAATGCATTTGGGTCTTTGTCATTCTCAGCCTAAACATATGGCTCTTGTGTTACTAATGGTTCCTTTTTTGTCTAGATATGTTGATTTGTCTGTATACAGCTTAGACTCAAGACTATGTCAATGGACTGCGTTTGTGCGTGGGCATGCTAAGATTACTAAGAACAAGAAGATTATCGATGAATGCATTATCATAAGATCTAGGCTATATGTTGTCTCAGACAAGACTGGTGGTTCTAAGGACAATAAAGCTACATCCAAGAAGGTTGTTAAGATTGAGCCAAATCTAAGTTTTCTCGACATATTCAGCTTCTCATCTTGTCCTTGACAATGGCTAGTAGGTGTCTTCTTGAGGATCTACCCTTATTGCTCATGATCGTATTGTGCTTACTCATGATCACAAGTACTTTGAGACTGAGAGATGCATGTGGTACCTCTGAGGATCTCAATAGTTCTTGCTGCTCAGAATCTAATTGAGTATTATGGTCTTCTATCCATCATGTTGCCTGATATGACTTATGATTACGAGCGCTCTATATCCTGGAGTGAGGAACGAATTGAGGAAGGAGTGGCTCTACATAGGGATGGACTATTCTAAACTGGGATGATCTTACATCACCACGTCTGTGTCTGATCATGGTACTACTGTACAAAAATGTCTGCTACAACTGGATACAAATTGATACATGTCCGCAATGCATACATGACTGAGCAACACTGGTGTTAATGATTGCCAACACGAAATCGTTCAACTTTGGCAGCTGGTGTATGATCAGATTGTAACAAGTACCTCTGTTGCACCTAGGAGCTTTCAGGTGGACCAGAACACTTTGTTTCTCTCAGACTTTCCTCCAGACCCAAAGGTTATGTGTCTGCCTACTGATCTCAAGAATCTAAACCTTATAATCAAAGGCTTCACATCAAACTCTCAGGTCTGATCTTGTTCCCTGCTTCAAATCTATATAGTTAAAT